CTTGATTCAGAAATTCTGGCCAACTATAGATCTATATCTAATCTAACTTTCATCTAAAAAATTTGAGAGAAAATAGTTGCGGGTCAGTTGCGTGAACATATAGGGCGGCTGTGGCTGAGTGGTTAGAGCAGTCATCCTTCAATGCGAGAGTTGGGGGTTCGAATCCACCAGCAGTCACATGCTGAAGTGTCCCTGAGCAAAACACTGAACCCCTCATAGCCTCTGATGTGTGTCCCATCAGTGTATGAATGTGATCTAAAGCACTGATTAGTCTCTTTGGAATGATTTGTTCATTTAGCTTTGTAGAGATCTAGTAGAGTGCTGTATGAATGAGTAAATGAGGACACAGATTGTAGTGTAAAGTGCTTTGAGTATCTTGAAATAAGATAGAAAGGTGCTATATAAGTACAGTCCATTTAACATCTACGAAGAAATAATCTGTTTGAAGAGTTTCAGTCAGGGTTTAGAGCTTGTCATAGCACAGAAACAGCACTAGTAAAAGTTACTAATGATATTCTCATGGCCTCAGACAACAGACTTGTGTCTATACTGGTCCTGTTAGACCTCAGTGCTGCATTTGATACAGTTGGTCACAATATTTTACTACAGGGGTTTGAATATGATGTTGGGATTACAGGAACAGCTCTAAAATCATTTAAATCATATTTGTCTGATATATTCCAATGAATCTTCTTCATACACCAAAGTTAGTCATGGAGTTCTTCAGGGTTCAGTACTTGGACCAATACTCTTTACTTTCTATATATTTATATATGCTTGCTTCCATTAGGTAAATTTATTAAACAGCATTGGATAAATTTTAATTGTTAAGCTGATGCTACTCAATTATATTTATCCATGAAATCTCATGAATCCAATCACTTAAGTTACAATAATGTCTTAAAAATGTAAAAACTTGGACGACCCTTAATTTTCTGCTTTTAAACTCAGACAAGACAAAAGTTGTGGTTTTTAGACCTGATCATCTTAGGAATACATTTTGCAGCCTTTCACTTTCTCTGGTTAACATTTATTTGGCCTTCATTTCTAAAGTTAAAAACCTTGTGTTATTTTTGATTATATGTCTTTTAACCCCCATATGAAAAATGTTACCAAAACTGCTTTCCTCCTGCGTAAGATTAAAAACATCTTGTCCAAAAATGATGCAGAAAAACTGGTTCGTCTAGGCTGGACTATTGCAGTTGTTTACTATCTGGGTGTCTACAAACTTCTTTAAAAAGTCTTCAGCTGATCCAAAATGCTGCTGCCAGAGTTGTAGAGTTGATAGGAGAGATCATATTTCTCCAGTTTTAGCTTCTCTCCATTGGCTCCCTGTCAAATTCAGAATATAATTCAAAATCTTACGTCTAATCTACAAAGCTCTCAACAATTTAGCTTCATCTTATATTACAGATCTTTTGTTCAATATTTTCCTAACAGAGCACTTCCCTCTCAGACTGCAGGCTCACTTGCAGTTCCTTGAGTTTCCAAAAGCAGAATGGGAGGAAGAGGTTTCAGTTATCAAGCTCCTCTCTTGTAGAACAACTTGCAGTTTCTGTCCGTGAGGCTGACACATTGTCCAGTTTTAAAACTAGGTTTAAGACTTTCTTTTTTGATAAATCCTAGTTAGGGTTGGCTTGGGTTTCCTGAGCTATCCTTTAGTTATGCTGCTAGTCTTAGACTGCTGGAGAACAAACGGACCACATTTCTTCAGCATGCTACTGTCTTCAACTACTCTGCTCAACATGTTTTGTATTTGTATTTTTTTTTTCTATCCTTGACATGTGTTTTTGTCTTTCTTGCAATAGGAGATACACCTGCACCTACATTTGGGCCTGTGTTTGTTTGTCTCTCCTTCCTTTCCTCTCAAACTCAGCCGGTCAAAGCAGATAGCCGCTTGTCCTGACTCCTGATCTTGGTTCTGCTTGAGGTTTCTTCCTTTTAAAAAGGAGTTTTATCTTTTCCACTGTAGCCATTGTGCTTGCTCAAGATGGGACACTGCGACAAAGCGAAGATTCAATGAGTCTGCCAGCTTCCTTAGACAGAGAACTTTACTAATTGGATTTTGTATGTATGTGAATGTTTCTGTTAAGTGCCCTGAAACAACTTTGTTGTGAATTGGCACTATATAAATAATCGGAATCGAATTGTTTACTTTAATAAGATTTTTATTATTTACATATTTAAAGCTGATTTTTGGTTAATTTAATTTGAGCTGTGTGCAAGCTGGCACTGTTTCAATGTGGGTTTTGGTGGGAAACAGAGGAGAAACAGAAGAGAATTTCCCTCTGGGATTAATAAAGTATTTTTGAATTGAATTAAATTGAATTTAGAGGTGTGGAAGACTATAACTCTGTTTCCTGGACTGCACCCTGAATTGTCAATAATTTGGAGGACAAACAAACTCAGCCAATTTTCTAGAACGAAGAGCAGTTCCACTCAATGTGGGATGGATGCCATCTCTTCGCATCAGACTAGGTTTTTTCCAAAAAGCACTCAAATTATCTACAAAGCCCAAGTTGTTTTCAGAATATCACCTGGACACCCAGCGGTGTAAACATGTCATCGCTGGTCAGGTTGGGGAGGGGGCCAGTGAAAAGTATGGAATCCGACATGGTTTTAGCGAAGTTACAAACTGAAGCAACATTAATTTTAGTGGCCTCTGATTGGCGTAACTAGATGTCATTACCGCCGATGTGAATGACAATTTTACTGTATTTACCCTTAGCCTTAGTCAGCAGTTTCAGATAAGATTCAATGTTGCCCGCCCTGGCCCCAGGAATCCATTTAACTATTGTTGCTGGAGTCCCTAAAGCCACGTTTTGGACTATGAAACTGCCAGTCACCAGGGTCTGCTTCTCAGTGGGTGTGTCACAGGGCGAGAAAAATCTATCTGAAACATGACAGCATCAGTGGTGAACTGGTGACTTAGCTGGCCTGGGGTCCCGGCTGCTCAGGGTCTGCTGGAGGACTGCTAATGAGAGCTAGTTTCTGTGGTTCCACACTGTCTAAGGGGACCAGGCTAGCTAATGTTTAAGGGGACCTGGCTAATGTTTTTTCTACCGCATGGAGCCGAGCTTCCAGTTTGGACAGACACTCCTCCAAAGCTACCTTAAGTCTACATTTATTGCATGTATCATTACCGCTAAAGGAGGCAGTGGAGTAGCTAAACATCTGACCCATGGAGCAGAGGAAGCTGGGAGAGAACCAGAAGTCATGCTTCAAGAGCTAGCTAGCAAGAACTAGCAGATCACAATTACACCTGTAAAAATCAAGAAGTGTTGAAAGATAAAAGATGTTTCAAGCGTCTGTGGCTGAGTGGTTAGAGCAGTCGTCCTCCAATGCAAGAGTTGGGGGTTCGAATCCACCAGCTGTCACATGCCGAAGTGTCCCTGGGCAAGACACTGAACCTCTCATTGCCTCAGATGTGTGTCCCATTGGTGTATGAATGTGATAAAGTACTGATTAGTCTCTTTAGAATGATTTGTTCAATTAGCTTTATAGAGATCTAGTATAGAGCTGTATGAATGGGTAAATGAGGACAAAGATTGTAGTGTAAAGCACTTTGAGTATCTTGATCGATAGAAAGGTGGACTGTATATACACGTATATACAGTCCATTTACCATTTACAATCCAACAATAGAAAAACAACTGTATTGAGGGTGTTTGTGTACTAGAATGAAAAACTGCAAAAGATAGATAAATCCAGAAAACCAGACTCCTCAAGGAAACAAATCACTCAAGCTACCTGCAGAGAAAACAGGAAGTTACACAATACATCTTACCACAAAGTCCAACTGCTTAATAAAAACGACCGTCATCTTTAAATAGTTCACAAATGTATAGCTAGGATCTTCAATGAAACTGCCCGTTCTTTTATCCTTATCTCTTTACTGGTCTTCAGCTAATTTTAAAAGTTTTTTTTTTCTATTCAAAGGAAATGTGCCTTTCTTTTGCTTGTCTGGATAGGAAAATAAATCAAAATGAAGATTAGTGTTTCCATAAACTGACAGGAAAACAGCTTTCAGCTTGGTTTAATGATCTGTTTGGTGTTTCTAAAATACTTTTTTTCTGAAAAGCTTTTACTTCACACCTATTTCTATCATTTTGAAACATGGGATAAAAAAAATAAATAAAAAAAAACTTAAACTCTGACCACAACTTGCCTTAGCACTCCAAACAGGAATCAGGACTATGGTAAAAACTCAAATCTGGAGCAGATCTTTTGCATCATTTATTCCCTAAAGATGACTTTCTCTGATATCCAGTCTGAGTTTGGTGCAGAACACAAAGATTTTCACGTCTAAAACTGGAGTTTGGCTGCGACAGAAGTCATGGAATGAAGGTTTTCCGTGTTTCGTGTGAGTTTACAGGAAAAGAAAAAAACTGGAGTCACATCTGATTTTTCAGATATTTGAACACATCTCATTCAGCTGGATCAGTCTGATGCCACAACGATATGAAAGTTAAAGTAGAACTTTGGTGGCTGAGGATGCGTTTGTTTGTTTTCCTCACTAGGTTTCTGGTCAAACATGTCCCGTGAAATGACAAAATAAAACTGGAGAGGGGAAAACATGAGGTCCAGTTCCAGTTTCTGAGCTCAGGGTGCTCATAAAAACCACCAACAGGAAAAAACCTTTCACTCACCCTTGTCATATTCCTCCTGTTGCGTACAAGGTGTGGGATTTTTCAGTTTTTATGTTTGAGTTTGAAGAATGCAAGGGGGTCTGATCTTCTAAAAGAAGACCCACTCCACTACCAGAACTAGTCCTGTTTCTAGAGACGATGCTATTCTGCTGCAGTTTTTATCAGTTTTATTCCCTTGTTAAAAAAAAACTGGATCCCTGTAGATAAAGCTGGACCAGAATTAGTTCCACTTGGGGTGGGGGGTGGGGGGGATCTTCAGACCCTGACTAACCAGTCACAGCTGAAGTGGCATCAAGGCTTGAAAAACGGTTCTAGATTGGTCTGTGGCTCAGAGGCGGGGCCGGGCTGGGGTTAAAAGGCGGAGCCTGTGATGGCGTTGAGCTGTTTCATCAGCCCCTCCAGGCTGGCCATCTGCTCCGATAGGTCGTCCTGCTCGTAAACCTGAAGGACACAAAACATGATGACTGATTAGAAAAATCATCCCCTTGTGCTAGTTTCTGTTGGTACACAATATTTAAAGATTTATAAAGGTTAAATTAACTTAAAGAATTAACTTTTTTTTAGATTTTTCTACCTGGATTATTGCGCATGCAACATGATATAACATTTAAAGAGGTGGGGCTCTGATGTCCCACGGCACAGAAAAGTGAATGTTTGTAGTTCTGTAGATAAGTGTATTTTATGGACTGGAGGTGAAGAGATAATACAGTAAACCTAAATGTTTTGGTGCAAGATGTTCAAGTGGGTCAGAGTTATACTGCAGCATGACGGATCCTGGAGTGGGATCAGTTTTATCCACCACCAGGTGTAGTAGAGAGGGGGTGGCCTTGGCCCCCATAGATTAATCTTTAGCCCACCAACCACAGGAGGAAACTATACTTTTCAAGTCCAAGTTCAAGTTTCTTGTCATTCACATCAAATGTGGTACATGAGTTACAACAAACTTGTGTACAGTTACACCCCAAAATAACAAAAATATAAAGTATAAAAAAAACCAGTATATAAGGATCTAAGATATACACTAAGATATATGTTAAACAAACACTAGACAATGTGCTAAAAGATCCAAGATATGCATTAAATGTAACCGGCGCCAGACCTAGGGTTATCTGGGACAGTAACATTTGATTCACAGTGCTGTGGATCAATGAAGACAATGATGGATTAGCATCTTTCACAAGCCAGTGACATTTTATTTCTCATAATGTCAAAAATATCTTTATCTCAACTCGCAATATTACTCACAAACAGAAGTAAAATAGATAGTTTTCAATACTGTCAGTACACTGCATTAAACATGAATAAAATGCACATTGATACATAAAAAGGACATTATGTGCAAAATAAAACATGCAATTGCAAAATAGGTTTAAACAAAAGAACAATAATTAGAAACCTAAATTAATGAGAACCAAAATAACAAACTTACTATAAAAAATGAATACTAGTTTGCAAATTCAGCTCAAACCTTCAACATATATTATATTGGCACAACATGGTGACAGCAACTTCATAGAATAACAATTGCTTTGCTCCAAGAGAGTAATGATGAGCTAATTTCTACACTTAAGAAACAACAGCAGATATTTAATAGCATGACACAGATGTATATATCTCTAATTATCACTATGAGATCAACAGCCTTACGTTTAAAAACCTTGTTTTACCGCACAAGGGTTGTGTTACTAACGCTTGTCAGAAACAATTTAATTCAATTCAGTTTATTTATATAGCGCCAAATCACAACAAAGTTGTCTCAGGGCACTTTACAGGAACATTCACATAAAAGCCAATTAGTAAAGTTCTCTATCTAAGGAATCCAGCAGACAAGTTGAATCTTGGCTTCGTTGCAGTCTCCCATCCTGAGCAAGCACAGTGGAGACAGTGGAAAGGAAAAACTCCCTTTTAAAAGGAAGAAACCTCCAGCAGAACCAGGCTCAGGACAAGCAGCCATCTGCTTTGACCGGCTGGTTTGAGAAGACAGGAAGAAGAGACAGACGAACACACAAACACACAAAACCACAATACTATTTATCAGTCACAGTAATCCTAAAACACAGAAAAGTTTGAAAACAGAGTAAAGACATCAGCCTGTCAAGAAAATAATTTTCAATAAGAAGAGGGACCGATTTAAGGTCTGAGATGTACACAGCGTGTACTAGTTTCATATGACCGATGGAGATCTGTATTAGTGCCACTGAGGACAAAATTGTGTTAGCTGAAGAATACGACTGTACCTTCTCGTCACAAGACTGAACTTTCAGTTCTTTGTTTGCAACGTCTGTAGCTTTACGCAAGAATTCAAAAAGATCAGCGGACATGAGTGTCACATTCGAGCCAGTGTCAAGAAGTGCGCCGTGCATCATCACATCTTCTAGATTCAGAGGTGCATAGAACTTCTATACTGCATTTTTTGTGAGATGACCTAGAAACTGCTGGACTGGGGGTTCAACTTGGATCACAGGATCTTCCTCTGCTGAGTACCAGTCCTCTAGATCTTTTGCTACAACCATAACTGCGCTTGACTGGTTCGAGTTCACAGTTTTTGGTGGTGGGTGTGCGGGTAGAGCTTCCTTGTTCGCCCCCCTGTTGGGTGGAGAAGAGATAGCTATAGCACCTGTGGGAGGACCTGGGTCCTCACCCACAGTGGTGATTGAATGAACCGTCTTTATCCCATTTTCATCCATCTTTGCAGATTTCAGTAGGTGTTGATCTCATCAATATCTTGATGAGTAAGAGAAGAAGACTTACCTTACCTCCCTTTCCTTGTGTTCTGGTCCCATTTGAACTTTTAAGTTTTTACATATCCTCTCTGGTTGGGAGATGACAGTGATATGTCCTCACGTCTGGGACGGTCCTGTGACCTGTAGTCATGACCCCTATAGGAATCATACTGACTGTTTTGATCAGGTGACCACCTTTCCGGTTCGATCAGGTGACCACCTCTTTCTCCGGGTTCCTCGGTCAAGTGACCACCTTTCTTTACGAGTGTCTCGGTCCGATGACCATCTGTCCTTCTGAGGAGACATGTTGTATCTTTGTCGTTCATTTTGCAGACAAGGCTATCTCTTGGTTGGCCTTTGGTAGCCCTTTATGGAACGCATCACAGGTTCGTTAGCACTCCAGTTTGTAGCCCTTGTGGAACCTTTGAGCTCCAAAGAACTAGAGTTTGAACCAACTTTCAAAACAGCACATGGATCGTTGGTGACATATTGTAACCCCAGATTCTATGAGTGTAAGCATAGCCCTTTAAAAGCTGTCGCTATTGGGTTTACCAGTGCACAGCGCACCAAACACTGAAAACTTCTAGTCCATGCCCACCTGCTGTGTGGGCCCCAACCGATCCATTATAAATTGCATCTGGACCGGAGATCAACTCCCAAAGGCTTACTCCTTTCTTCAGCCATTTGGGAGCCAGTGAGGCCCAATTTTAAAAGGGCTACGCTTACACTCATATAATCTGGGGTTATAATATGTAACCAACATTCTATTTCCTGTAAGCTACGCCCTTTAAAAGTTGTCGCTATTGGGTTGAAAGGGTGGAGCAGGATATGGTCCATGTTTCACTGGGTCTGTCCAAGAACCATAAAAAACACCCTGATTTCCACCTAAACCTCATTCTTTATTCAAGCGTATTACGCACCATTGATCCATGTACCTGGTGCGTACTGAATTACAGGCATGCAGCCTCTGTGCCTGATCTTAGCTGAAGGAATGTTTATTCATATCAGACAATAGTGTCACAGTCTGTCCCCTAGCTGTCTGGTATTTCTTTCTTCCCCTTTTCTGCTTATTGTGTTTGCCATTCTGCTCTTTATAATTGTGTGTGATTCTGATTCTGTTTTCTGTCACTTCCCACTCACTCCTCGGTCTGCCTCTCTTGTCTCTAGTCTTCAGTCTTAATCATTCACACCTGTCTCATCAACCACCTGCCCAGGTGCTCTCATTACTCACTCTCCCTCTGTCTTATAAAAAGCCTTTCTCTCCTCCACTCTTCGTCCGGTCATTGTTCTGTATTCACACAGACATCTCAGTCCTCCTCTGCCCTGTCTGTTTTTGTCCACCCAATGATCTGCTTTGCCAGTTTACTCTGATGTCCTGTTCAGTCTTGTTCCTGATCGTGTTTTGCTGCATCGACAGCGTTTTGTTTTGTTGTTTAAATAAATTTATTTTATTTGAACTCCTGCCTCGCTCGCCTGCCTGCATATGGGTCTAAAATTTGAGGATTGTGACAAATAGAGGAATAAGAAAAGAAAAAAATTCCAATGAGGAAGAAGGAATTTTCCTGTTTGAACGAGTAATCGTAGAAAAAAGCGCCCACTAATTATGACAGAGCAGGGCTGTGTTGTTTTATTGTTTGTTTTTTGTTTGTTTGTTTAGTTGTGTGATTGTGAAAAATCACTCTGACATAACTCTGAGAACTGAATGTGTCAGCGAAGAGTTGGAGACATCATGTAAATAAAAATGGATGAAGGGGGTTGGTGATGACCATGAAGCCACAGAGCAGATGTCCTGCACAGACACCCTTCTGTGCAGAGCTGTGGAGGTAGAAATCCCCCTGGTGGAATCAACCCTGAGTCCTTCAGGTGGTTGAAGGCCAGAAGAACTATAGGCTTGTGATATAGTTTCTCATAACCAATGTGACAGATGCTAGGAAGATAAAGGCTGACCCTGTGATCGTTTCCTGAAATGTATGAACAATTGATCAGATTTACGCATTGCGGCTGTGTGTCTCACATAACACCTGAGCGCACGTACTGGTCACAGCAGATAAAACTGTTCCTCCTCCATAGTTTTATGGGGAGGGGGACAGAACCCATCCAGCATAATGACTCTGGACCTGAACGAACTTGTTATGCTTTTGGGTATAAAAGCAGGATTTGGTTGGAGTTTTGCTGAACTCCCGTCTCCTTGATTTCTGAGATAAGAAGGAGCGACGGACAGACCTGACAAGTGGCTCACTCTTTTAGCTGACGTCAGAGCTAATAACAAGGCTGTTTGAGTGACAGATACTTCAAAGGTATCTGGTCAAAGGGTTCAAATGGATCTTTAATTAGTGCACTGAGAACGAACACTAAATCCCACTCTGGTGCGAGGGTGCACTGTGTCAAGTAATGTCATTTATTGAATGAAATCATATCTGCCAGAGGCTTCCAAGTAACAGATTTGTACTCTCTGTGATGTAGAAGAATTGTTTTCTATGCATTGATTATTATACCATACCATACCATACCACTTTATTTATAAAGCACTTAAAACAGCTACAAAGCACACCAAAGTGCTGTACAGACAAAACAACAGGTAACACACAAAGCAAAATACAAAATGAGGTAAATCAGAATATAGACATAAAAACGATGCAGATAATGACGACAAACCAGTGTGGAGCATACAGGATCAAAACACAGATCATCTGGTGTTGAAAGCTACTGAATAGTAGT